AGCTGATGAAGCGGACGGGTTATGCACCAGTGGTAGGACTCGACGAGGGGTTTGCAAGGAGTGTGCGGTGGTTCAAACGGGACGAAGAGGAGCAGTTGAAGGCGAACGGTGAGTGGAAGAAGGAGCAATAGACGAGATGAGGGTGAAGTGATGATCAAAAGCGTCTTGATGTCCAGTATGTCGTGTCAATGCAGCGCAGGCGACCAAGAGTGGCGTTGACCGAGCACGAAGAGGACCATGGAGTCCGAATTTGGGGACATGGCTGGGCGCGTTCGATTGCGAGAATAGACCCAGATCTTCTCAGTCGGTGCGTACAACGCATTTACGTACCAAGTACATAATACCTATCCCCTGGTAGGGCCTGCAGGGGGTCTCAGGGAGAGAATATAGAGTCTCTTTTTTGTTGCCCAAATACTCCTCGACCCTCACTTCGCCTCGCCTCGCTAGAAAGAGATAGAAAGGAGAAGGAAATTGTGGCTAGATACACTCGTGTAATGAGGACTCGGTACTTGGTCGTAAGTGGAACAGTCATCGTCCGTCCATCGGTAGGTACTAGGTAGGTAGATGGGTAAGCACGTATGTCATCTGTATGTACACAAGCGAGAGAACCTACATATATGTGTCTGCGAAGCGAAATACCCCTTCCCTATGCTCTGTCTCTGAGTTGAGTGAGTTAAGTGAGTGAGTGAGTAACTGTGCATGGGCATTGAGGGAAAGGAAAGGAAAGGATGGGAATATCTGGATGCTGGATGCTGGAGGCCTGGCCGGACAGCACCATGCAAAGTCAAGTCAGATAGATAGGTAGACAGAGCCGGCCAGACATGCCAAAGGCAACGCGTATGTACATGGACACATGGTACATGGCATGGATACATGGTCCTCCGTGTATGCATTGCATGCATGCGCGATATTCACCCGCATACAAGTACAAGTACCTCTGTCTTGTGTCTATTCGGCCTTCTTTCTCCCGGTACGAGACAAAAGTCATCTAACCAGTACCAGTGCCAGTGCCAGTGCCAGCCAGCCAGTATCCGAGTACGAGTACATATTGTACTGTACATCAGCCTGCGGCCTTTTACTCCCTCCCCCATCCATACCACCCACCATGCCACCCCTCTCGTTGGTCAAAGTCGGCATTTTCCGAGAAATCCCCCTTTTTTTGCTTTTTGCGGCTTGCTGACATGAACTTGACTGGCCTGATTCACTTACCCCAATTGACTTCCCTGACTTGACCTGACCTGCCTGGCTTGATTCAGACAAGAAACTCGAAGAAGAAGTTCTTGGTCTTTGCGAGGAGTCTTAGTCTCGGAGTTTTGACGGCTGTAAGGAGAAGGACAACTCGTACTCGTTGGGTTTTTTTCTAGTCCTCATCTGCATCTATCTGCACTGGACTTGGGACTTGGACTGAAAGAAAAGGGCGTTTACTGTAGGTTCCCCTGCGCTATGAGGTAGAGGTACCGAGTATGTATTATTACCTGCCGAGTGAAAATGATACGGGTACACTGGCATACTAGCACACTGGCACACTGGATAGGGTAATGCCATGCCATGCCCTCCTATGCATGTTATCATGGGTCTGATCCTGCCTGGCCACCTGCCTGCCTGACCATGCGCAGTGGACAGTAGTCAGCAGTCTGAGCGGTTGGAGCGGTTGAGCGGCCGACAAGACAAGACAAGGGGAGGACGAGGTACAGAACATACCCCTCCCCCTTTTTGGTGGATGTATGTATGTAATCACATCTTGGGAGTACATGTACTTGTACAGATGAGACAGTGAGAAAGGGGACGAGAATGAAAATAACCATGTCCTTCTACAGAGGAACAAACTCATGGGTCTCTGGGACCAGTACGTATCGATCCCGCAAGGCGAAGCGAGACGAAGCCAAAAACCCCCAAAAAAGAGCAGGAATTGGATTCCCAAGCCACCGTCTGGCTGGCTGGCTAGCACATATCAGACCTGTCTCCTTGACCAAATGCGTTCTCCAAGAAGAGCTGCTGTAAAGTAAAGCAACGCGCTACTCCGGATGCATGCTCGTAGGGCCATGTCTGTTTGTCATCGTCATCCATGCCACATTTTTGCATGCCAGGGGAGTCAGCTGCCGGGGTTACGACTCTTTTGTATTCATTTAGCTGTTGGTTGTTTACTGTTGGGGGGTGATCGCCAGGGCCGAGAATCCTTCGTACTTGGTACTCACTCACTCCGTAAGACCAAGATGCATAGGCACAGCCGTCGGCATCGGTTGAAATCCCATTGGGTAGAATTGATTCCACCTGGGGAGTGATATGTGACTGACTGAGCTTTTCCTACACGTGCAAGTCCCAAGTACAGCGCGTATGCAAGAGACTCGACGCCCACTGTCAAGACGTGACAGTGAATAATGCAGACGTCACCGGCGCCTGTTGCCTTGGTGGTGCTGGTGACCAACGCTCTCGTTGCGGAATCAACGCACGTGCTGTTTGTTCAAGAACAAACATCTGGGATGAAACTGTTCAGGGTTCGGATGTGGTCATGGCACGCATGGTCAGAAGCGGCGCTCGGCAGGGATTCATTCCCGTGGTAAGCTTTGGGGAAAGCTCGTGCAATGTATTTCCATGGTGCTTCTAGGCTTGTCCATTGAAGGATCGTTAACCCTGTACGAGTGTGGGAAGCGGGAACAAGGGAAGAATACATCCTTAGTCCGACGCTTTTTCAAGCACTACACACCGGCAACACGGGGAGACAAAAAGTGTAGAGCACGAGGGTTGCTGTGCCAGAAAAAAAAAGAACGCAGTTCTCATGCAGTAGTGCAGCCAGAGATAGCAAAGGTGATTGGCGCCCTCTTTTGAACCCTGCCAACCGAGGAGACGGGCGTGACGGGTCAGCTGAGGCCCTTGTAACCGCATCTGAGAAGTTAAAACTGCTTCATGGAGGGAGTGCAGTAGTTCCGGATTGGAATGGAGAACGAGTTGACGCTCGAAAAAGAAAAGCTCAAGGAGTGCATCGGTAGACAATGTGAAATCGGCCTGAAGGTCTTGTTTCCATCATCCTTGCACCCACGAATTTATTATCGACAAGGCTATGTAGCGCGGCCCTCATGGTTGCACCACCCTGCGTCACCAGGTTGTGAAGACTATGAGAGATCTGAGTGATTGCATCGAGAGGTGGGAAGGAATACGTCGCACAAGGGGTGTTTGCAGCACAAGGGCCCGAGAGATGACACGCATCCTTGGAGTGCAAGAGGGGCTGATTGGACCAGTGGTCTTTGCCTGTTTGTTTCATCGTCTTGAGAAGTTCGAGGGCGGCCAGAATGTACAGGGTGCACACGTGTCGTACATGGCCACGGAGCCCTGATTGAGGTCGATGACGAAGTGCGTTCGCAGGTCGGTGCAGCCCTATTCATCTGCCCAAAATGTTTCAATGGGGCACCCACATTGTGTTGTCATTGCATCAGAAACAATGTCAATTTTTTTCTCTCTTCGGGTCAGTCATCTCGTAGATGTTATGCGCGTCGACGCAATAGACCTTCCTATTCCCGCCTGTGCAGTTGCTGAGGTGGAGGGGGAGATACCAAGGGAAAAGGCATTAGGCAGGCCTGGCAGGCTATGCTGTAGCCGAGCAAACCGTCAACAAACAGACGGAATAGAAAATAAAAAGTGGGGAGAGGTGAGCGAGCCAGCGACTGAGTGAGAGCGAGCAGGAATACGGATTGTCAGCAAAGACAGACGGTCAGAACAGGTGGATGGACTCGCGATGATGAGGGTCGAAAAGGGTTGTCGGGTTCGCAATGGGGCGGGCATCGAGGGGAGCCTTTGAGCGAGGGGGCAGCACAGGCAGGTATTTCCAGAGGCAGCGTGTGCCAGGTGCCGCGTTGCAGGTCAGAAACAGACATGGCATTGGATGAGGAAGACAAGAGATCCTAGCATGGACTAGGAAGGATGTTGAGTTAATCTTTGTTTAGCGGTGGTTTACTGGACTCGATGTGCCGATGAGGAGAGGTGAGTAAAAAGGTGTTATTGGTGAGACGGCGACAGGAATAACGCACTGGTCTGCATTAGCTGGCCGCAGTCAAGAGGGAAGGGGAACGTTGGAGTTGGAGTTGACACGCAGCTGCACAAAGGGCTCTGGGGGCCCTTGCCTTGGCTCCTGGGATCAGTCTTCAGGGCTGCTTCTTGGGTTCTTCTTGGGTGCCTCGATGCTTTGAAAGCGAGCCCCACCCCCTAAACCGCCCTAACGAGATCACCGGCATCTGCAGCCCGGGTGCAGCCAGTAGAAAGCATCTGTTGCAAGGTGGTAGGTTGGAGGCGCTTTGGCTTCCACCCTTCCCCCCCATCCTCACACAGTTTGTAAGTTAACAAGGGAGACACCCTTACGAGGGAGACTCTCAGACCACCCAGCTGCCCTGTGCCTTTACCCTGCAAGTGCCTACCTTTTAACCCTTCGCCAACCGTCCCACTATTTCCCTACGAACCCCTTCGACTACTGGTTGCAAAAAATAATATCCCAGCGGCGGCACCAACTGAGCCTTTCTCTCTTTGGCGCTGTATTTCCTTCCGCTCCTCCATTACCACATCGCAGCTTCAATCATCTCTCGCCCAAATTTCTCCCTTGACAAATTATCACAATCGTTCGTTACCTCGACTGCCAATGTGTGGCCGTTTCCTTGTCTCCCTCTACCTCTGATGTAGTCGTCTTCGCCTTTGTCCTCCAACAAACCCCCAGAGAGAAAAAACACGCCGCTCTCCTCGCGTGAAACGCCACAAGTCCTCTCCTCAACCGTTCCCCTCGGACCCTCGACACGCACGCAGAACACTCGTTCGACTCCTCCTCCTTCGACGCTCTCCTCTCTATCCGCAACAGCTCCGGATCATCTTGACGACTCTGCCAGAGATGTCAAGATAACGGGGGACTTTTTGGCTCCATGGTGGGTCAAAAGTCATAAAGGACTCTGCCCTTTCCCCAGTCCTTGTCCCCTCCGTCCACCACTTGTCCTCCAGGGACCGTTCCTCCTGCACCAGGAGTAATGGCCCAGGATGGAGCCGAACAACAATACTTGGAGCCGCCGATAATTACGGCCATCAAGAACGCCGAGGGCTATGGCAACGACATGACTCGGCATGCAATGGAGAGGTCATTCAGCCAGGATATCCAGGAAGGTACCCAGGAGCTCAAAGAGGCGGCCGAACAAACCCGGAACATTATTCTTGATCTCAGTTTGGATGGCCATATTCGTTGGGTCAGCCCCTCTTGGACCGATGTTGTCGGCACTGATCTCGAGCATGTTCGAGGTCACAAGATTTCCGAGTTCATCAGCGACAATCCTGACATCTTTGCATCCGCCATCGAGGCTCTGAAGTCGAATGATTCTAAGAGCCAGTTTGTCAAATTTGCCGTCAAGGTTGGCCCTTCTTCCGATATGGGCACCATGCTACCGACAGATGACGGCGAGGAACCGAGCGAGGACAATGTTGAAACTGACGAGAGTGGAAATGCAACCCTCGAGTTGGAGGGTCAGGGAATCATGGTCTACGACAGGACGTCTGGGGGAGAGTCGCACACCATGTGGATGTTACAGCCAGCCCAGGAGCCCATCCGCATTGAAATAGCTCTGCCTCGAGCACTCGTGGAAACCCTGGGAGTCGGCGCAGAGATTCTGGCAAAATATCTCACCGAGCTCGCAGAGTTCGGGGCTAACGACCCCGAAAATCACCCTCCACCCCTTCCCATACTCTGTCGAGTGTGCGAGAGGTCGATTGTCCCATGGTGGTTCGAGAAGCATTCGGATCTCTGCGTGCAAGAACACAAGGCTGAAATGGATGTGCAAATGGTCCAGGAAAATCTCTCGGAACATAGACACGCAATTGTCAAAGTGCTCGACGCTTTTGAGGTTCGTCAAGGGCGTGGCTCAGGCGGCGAGAACTCCCCTCCTTCAAGCCCCGAGTACAAGGGTATGCCGATTGGCCCTTCGCCAAGCTCTTCAACTGGCGTCTCTTCCGCTTCAGCATCTCATAGTGCCAGTCCGGTGAGATCACGAAGCCCTTCGACGACCGCCCCCGGTCATACCCGGGCTCGTTCGTTTGTGGTCCGGCGACCGTTGGTGCGCATCGTGGAATTGATTCTAGACCTGTGCGACACAGCTATGGAGATCAATGTGCCCTCGATCAAAGACAGCAAAAGCTCGGCAGAAGATGACTTCAAGTCTCAGTCTCCGCAGTCGGAATCCAGAATTTCCCAAATCATTCAATGGCAACCTCCAAGCAGCCTGGATAACGAGCCTGGCTTAGCCGCCTTGAGTGCGGATACCGAAAAACTGGCTCGCGCCAAGGTGGAGGCTGTTCACCGATATCAGAATGTTTTGGAATACTCCGAGCGCATACGACAAGAATACATGGCTGAGGTGGATGCGTGTATAAACGAAGCTTTGATCAAGGCGGAAAGGGCTGCAGCAGGTGAGGCATTGTCTTCCAGTGAAAGCGAGTCTGAAGACGAGGCTGCACTGGAAGGCATTCTCGAAAACCCTGGAGAAGATATGGAGCCGACCCCCAAAGCCCTGCCAATCGAATACCTTGAGCCCGAAGCCAGTCGCAGCACATCTTACGTCGGACTAAAGTCAATGGCTTCTGCCCTCAGAAATCCTAGAGACTTGCCCCAGATCACCATGGGGAATGATAAAAGACGATCGTCGTCACAGGCAGTTTCGACCGGCTCTAGCAGCCCAATCGAATGTCCCACCCCAAAGTCTCACCGGAGCAATCTTATCTCTCAACCCCAACCCATCTCGAACCGACGTTCTATGTACATTGAGGATGCCAACGACAGCGACAGTAGTCTCCCACCGCCTTCTTTTTTGTCGGGCAATTGGCGCACTGACTCTCCAGCTTCTGCATCTGATCAGGGTCGGACCGCCCAATCCAGGGACAGAAAGAGACGAAGCATGCATCTTCATGGCCTTAATTCGGCCTCCCCTCATCGCCAGCAGTCTCCAGGAAGATACCCGCCGCCACCTCCGTCACCATTGCGGATGACCAAATCTAGAATCCCCAGTGGAGAAATAGCCCAGTCACCTGTTGTGTCACCCTTGTTGACGGCTGGAGAATTTGTGCCTCCCACCAATGCTCCGAATCTGCATAGAAGACAGTCGTCGATGCATTCGTCAGATCTGAAGACCCCTGCTTCACCCAGGTTGAACTCTATCTCTCACCCACAACAGCGGGCACAACCACCCTCAATCAAGGATTTTGAGATCATCAAACCGATTAGCAGAGGTGCCTTTGGGAGTGTGTATCTGGCTAAAAAGAAAATCACGGGTGAATACTTCGCTATCAAAGTACTCCGCAAATCCGACATGATTGCAAAGAATCAGGTCACCAATGTCAAGGCCGAACGTGCCATCATGATGTGGCAGGGAGAGAGCGATTTTGTGGCCAAACTGTACTGGACATTCTCCAGCAAAGATTATCTCTATCTGGTGATGGAGTACCTGAATGGAGGTGATTGCGCTTCCCTCGTGAAGATCCTCGGAGGTCTGAGTGAGGATTGGGCTAAAAAGTACATCGCTGAAGTCGTTCTCGGCGTCGAACATTTGCACTCTCGAGGGATCGTCCATCGTGACTTGAAACCAGATAATCTTCTGATCGACTCCAAAGGACACCTGAAGCTTACCGACTTTGGTCTGTCTCGTATGGGTCTTGTTGGTCGACAGAAACGTGCACTCAAGCAGCCCGATGAAGCCGTCCCCGATCTTTTGAAGCAGGGGCCATTCACTCAGAACGGTTCAGGGTCGAATCCGACCTCGCGATCCACCTCTTTTGACTACCCGGGACCCCATTCGCCGGCGCCGACACCTCTCATGACGCCTGCTTTCACCGGAGGTCTTGATCAACCATCCTACTTCAGCCTGAATAGAGAAAGCTCTCTAAGCCGAGAGACGTCGTTGAGGAATTCCGGCTATCGGAGCGATAGTGGTAGTGGCTCAAGCTTCGATCTCCATCAACTTTTCAAAAAGCTCGGCGTGCAGGAAGACATTGAATCCCCTCCTCAGATTTTCCCGCGCAAAATCGAAGAAGAAGCATACAGCCAGGGCAGCGCATCTCCTGATCTTTTCCCACTGTCACAGTCGATGAGTAATATTTCTCAGACCGCACCCGCTCTTCTGACTTCTCAGATGTTGGCTCCTCCATTGTTTGAGCCTGAAGAAAGTGATCGTCGTTTCGTGGGGACCCCGGATTATCTAGCTCCCGAGACCATCAACGGCACCGTACAGGATGAAATGTGTGATTGGTGGTCTCTGGGGTGTATTATGTTCGAATTTCTCTATGGTTTCCCACCCTTCAACGCCGAGACGCCGGAGAAGGTATTTGACAATATTCTAAATCGGAGAATTGCCTGGCCCGAGGACGACGAAGTCGAAGTAAGCCCAGAAGCAAGAGATCTCATTGACAAGCTCATCCAACTCGACCCGAGAGAAAGGCTGGGTGCAAACAAAGACGAGAAGTACCCAAGCGGTGGCGCTGAGATCCAAGCACATCCCTGGTTTGCTGACATTCACTGGGAAACGCTCCTGGAAGATGAAGCTCAGTTTATTCCAAACCCAGAGCATCCAGAGGACACCGAGTATTTTGATTCGCGTGGGGCCACCCTGTCGTCTTTCCCTGAAGAACTGGAAGACCAAATTTCACCCGCAGGTACAACGCCGAATGGTTCGGAATATCCCAATCGTCCCCACGATGCACTTTTCCGAGCCAGAACGCAAGCAAGTTCTGCTAAGCGTGGCCTCATGCCTCTCCATATTCCTCCCCATTTGGTACGCGATTCCCGCAATCGCAGGCTGAGTGAACCTGTCATCGCCGACGACTTTGGCAATTTCACTTTCAAGAACTTGCCCGTACTGGAGAAGGCCAACAAGGACATAGTCGAGAGGATGAGGAAAGAAGCAATGCAAGCTCAAGCTAGAGGCTATGCGCATTCGCAAGCTATGTCTGCCGCCAACAGTCCAGCGCTAGGATCCCCAGGACCATCCCTTGAAGGCAGTCCGATGATGCCGATGCCAGTTAAGCGGGCACTCTCGATCAGCAAGGGTCACAGGCCGGGCTCTCCATCGAGCCTGGCTACATCCAACTCGTCCCCCAGCAGGCCTTCGCAGCCTTCCTCACCCCTCTTGGTTCAGTTCTCCACAGCGCAGCACCATGATAGACGAAAGACGTCTGGCTCCTCCCAAGGAAGCAGTTCTCTTGCTCCAAGTAGCTTTTTTGATATCCCCTACGATGCGGTGAAACACGGACCGACGGCAACGTCATCTCCCATCAAATCTGCTCGGATGCCTTCGGTTTCTCCCGCCAAAGGGATGCCTCCACCTCGCGCTGCGACAGTCAATGGACGCACAAGGTCGCAGACTGTCGGCTCACAGGAAAGTGACGGACAGGCCCCTCAGCGAGAACCTTTCGTTCCTGGTCATCATAAGCGCAAGAGCCAACTGCTCGTACGAGACGTTTCACCATCGTCCTCAGACAATGAATCGGCACAAGCGAAGGCGCTCCTCAAGGTGCAACGCCGGCGGCAGAGCTCGAGAAGACTGTCGCAGATCAACTTTCTTGAAGGCCCTACCTATCGACCTTTGGATGTCCTGATCTGTGAGGACCATCCGGTGTCCAGAATGGTAATGGAGAGGCTGTTTGAGAAGTTGCGCTGCCGGACGATCACCGCAACCAATGGTCCTGATGCTCTACGACTTGCTATTAGCCAGATTCAGTTCGATGCCATCTTTATGGAATTCAAGCTGCCCCTCATCAGCGGAGTCGACGTTGCTCGCATGATTCGAGACACAAAGAGTGCCAATACCAGCACTCCAATTGTCTGCATTACAGGATACCTGAAAGATCTTCCCGAAGTCCACCACTTCGACACTCTCATGCAGAAACCGCCGACCACCCAAAAGTTGACGGAGATGTTAGCCAAGTACTGTGCCTGGAAACCCGCACCTAAAGACTTCCGGATGGCAGTTCCATTGACCATCCCACATCTCAACACGCGATTCGATCCTATACCTACTCAAGACAGTCCCAGCTCTGTTGCTTCGAGCTTGGCACCGACAATGCCCGACTCATCATACCGAGGGTCAGGTCGGGAAGATTCGATTGGCAGTGGCGGGTTTTTTAGTGATCTGGAATCCTTCAAGAGTGATGACGTTCCGGTCATTGTCTCTCGAGCCGCTACTGATGAGTGGGCAAAGGCCGGGTTAGGAATTTCCGACGATATTGTCCTCGGACAGCGGCCTTATATCCAGTCTGGTTATCCTCATCTTGTCCATACAGAGTCTGCACCCCCAAGTGCTTGCATCGACGATACTGGCGGATATGGACTTCAGACCCCTCGGCGACAAAAGTCATCGGAGGCTGTCAGAGTGAAGCGAGAACTACTGGAGAAGAACATGAACCATGCCATTGGGGCAGCGGAAGAAGGAGATGACGAAGACGAGGAACTGGGCGACGTCCAGGTGCGAGCGCGGTCACCTCTCGGTAAACCACCCCGGCCATCATCCAAACTTGGAATTGAAATGCTGCGCACGAACAGCCGGGGAAGCGTCATTTCCATGAGCGAGGACAGGTCAACGGAGCCAGACAGTCTCCGGAGGTCTCTGGAAGTTCTCGAAGAGCGCATGGAGAATCTCAAAATTCCCGAGGAACCCAGTGTCGCTGCATTGACAGAGATCCAACCGCGGAAGAAACTCGAGCTCTCGCAGCATTCACATCCTGAGCAGGAGACTGTCCGTTCGCCCAGCGGCCAGATCACACCTCCCGTCATATTCCCTCCGAAACCGGGCACCACCTTTGCAGATATCGAGATGGATATCACTCCCGTGCCGACAAAAATGATCAACATCGAAGAGGAGCCTACGCCGAAGCCCCCAGGCAGTCCCTCGAAACCAGAAAGAACACAATCTCAGCGCTAGTTTTATTCTACCCTTTCTCATGTGTCTATGCTTTATGACCGACTTATGGAAATTTGCTCGAACGATTGGAGCCTGGGCCTTTTTCATTTTCTTTTGTACACACAATGACCTGTTGTTTGCAAGGCGCTGGAGGCGAGGGACGTGCAAGCATCACTGGCGTTTGGTTGAAGGCGGGAAAATGCTCGCATAGCTATACGTGTATTTCATTCTCTGGCGTTCATGCGTCGGTGCATGATACAAACACGGCCTAAATAGTTCTGACAATCAATCATCATTCTCTACAATGATCTTGGGGTCTTGTCAGTATTAGTTCTTTCTCTTCTCACGTTTGTTTGCTCCGTGGTGGACACTCTTGTCAATTTTTGATATCTTACAGGCGGGTGACACCATATATGTACTACGGTGATACGTAAATTACAATAGCGGTGACGGATGTTGGAACTGACGGCCTCTGATTGGCTATCCGACTGCACCTGCCAGTCCTCCCAAGTCATAGTGGGTTTTTGCTTACATTATCTCAACCAGGTATAGTTTACGGCGGCCGCGGTCAGCACATATACCTGTCTGCACCCCCGCGCTCTCTCCCTCTCTTCTTTCCCTTTCCTCGGGAAGCAATCATGGCACCAAGGTACGTCAAGTCGCTCAACACCTATGTCAAATTCGCATATATGAAGCTAACCGGTGTTCTACAGTCGAATTGACCAGTCCTCCGGGACTTCGCCTCCGCCCCAATCCCAGGCCTCACCCTGGACGAAGCCCATGCAATGGGTGGTTGTCCTGGCGGTGTTGTCCTTGGTGGTGGGCGTTTTGTCTTTCCTGTTTAACGAGAAAGTGCGGACTTAGATAGTCCAGAAGACAGAACGGCCTCGGAGGAGCCAGAATCCTCCTGGGGAGAGACCTCCCCTACCAGTGCCGTTGGATCTGGTAGGTGCCCGAGGAGAACCCAGGACGGAGGCGGCGCCGTCCGAGGTTGCGGAGGTGGAAGAAGAGGAGGAAGAAGGAAGGGTAAGTTTATTATCATGTCTGATTTTGTTGCAGGTAACTGGAATGCTAACGGATATTACAGAGTGATGTTCACTCCAGCGAGCCCCCAACTCGCTAGTTGGTTTTTCGGCGGCGTGGTTGCGCCTTTATTTTGCATTATTATTACACAGAGGGGCGGGTCCCATCATTATCTTGTATTCTTATGCCGGGCATGGTCTCTGCCTCCACGTGGCGCTCGGTGGAAACTTGGGTTGGTTGTCCCAAGGCAAAAGAGACCCGGCTCCCCCCCCCCTCTCTCTGTGTGAAGAGATGGCTTGAAGACTTGGGTACATTGGATTGGCAACGAGTTCACGCATCAATCATCATTCTGTCGACCGCTGCTCTCAGTCAAACAGAGCGTTCACTCCAAGCCAAACTCAACCCAAAGTCAAAAAATGCAAAACTTTCTTCAACCACTGCCAGCCACCGCTCTCAGTCCTACAGAGCATCGCACCCCCAAGCGAATTCAAACTCAAGTCAGAGGATACAACTTTCTTCAATTCCAAGCAACCATTGCTCTCAGTCTTACAGAGCATCACAACCTCAAGCCAAAGGATACAATCACAACCAACCACTGCTGTCAGTCCTACAGAGCACCACACATTCAGCTGAACTCGGCCTCAAGTCAAAGAATACAACTGTCTTCAATCCAACCAACCACTACCCTCACTCCTACAAAATCGTGCGGAATTCCAGCGGAACCCAATTTCAGATATCTCCTCAACTCTCGGACAGCAAAGAGGTCCCGCGGTCTTCAAGAGTCTTGTAACCTTGTGCCAAATGCCGCCCCTTCACTATCAGAACAATCACAACCTGAGTTATTGCAACATCAAGACCTGCAATATCCTACCTGTGAAGAACACCTGTGAAGAACACCTGTGAAGAACACCTGTGAAGAACACCTGTGAAGAACACCTGTGAAGAACACCTGTGAAGAACACCTGTGAAGAACACCTGTGAAGAACACCTGTGAAGAACACCTGTCGACAACTGCTCACAGTACCAAAGGATACGGAAAGCCAAGTCGCGTTTGGCCCAAAGTCAGTTGTCTTCAGGACTTTTCGCCAACCAATCTTCGTTGCACGCCGATTGGAATGATCTCAAAGAGCCATCGGCAATTGCTCTAGGTCCCAAAATGTTCCAAAGGAATCTTCCTCTGTCGCCATGTCCCTGCAAACTGTTCCACAGACCAAGAAAACCTTACAGTCACTGAGCTTGAGGACCTGCTGGGAATGAGCCAAGGTCCTCTGTAAGAGAGCATTACTTAAGAAAGCGACTCTGCTCACCATTTCTTCATTTCGCAAATTACCAACACCCGTTCTGCCTCCAGGCTCTGACAACACCTCAAACCAACCTGAACCATCATTCGTGCTAGTGTCGACCTCAAAAGCTCGTCCTTGCTGATCAACACAGTGATGGCGAATATTTCCATCCTTATCATCTTGGTGATGCTTGCTGCCATGGTCAAGCAAGTCTCAGCTGCATCATCGGAGCCACAGATTTGCACACCACTAGGTCATCCAGATTGGGATTGCAAAAGCTCAATTATTTGCGAGGCGGATTGGCCTTCAGAAACAGGGAATTATGGGTCGAGAGATGGCAACACCAAGATCACATCGCGCAGTAAATCTCAGGGGAGAATTTTAGTCCTGGACAGTGAGGTCAATTACACAGCCATCAAAGACGACATTCATCGACGCCGATTAGCCACGATCTCTGTGGCTCAAAACTCTCAAAACCATTCAATTGTTTCTCGATCTGCCACATCACCGTTCCCAGAGCAGTGCTGTCGTCTCACCGTGGAATGTTTCAAGTTCTTCGACGATGAGATCGGAACCAAACCTAGGGATTACAATGGCAGGCTCTTGATAGACGATTTCAATCTATGGAAGAAGGCGGAGTGTTGCATGTCGGACTTTTTGACACCAAAGTCGTGGTGTCTGACTCCTCCAGCTCGAAATAGCTGGTTCTCGTGGGATGAGCCACCGGCTTGCTCCAAATTTCACTAGAATCTTTGGAAGAATGGCTGGGCGAGTCTGTCGGCGCAGGGAATGGGGGCCAGGGGGGTGGTGGTGTGGTATGTTGAAGGTCCTCAGGGTCCTCACAACTACGTATGTACAATAACTAGTTGGTCTCTGAAGAGAGCTCCGTGGTACTAGAAAACCTGACAAATGTTACACTCTGGATCTCAAGGCTTTGAATTCTGGATCCTCTATAAGACAGCGTTACTTGAGAAGACCTTGAGCTCCACATTCTCTGCAAACAACCTCGACAAACGTTCTTCGAAAGCCTCCAGGTAAGAATGCTCCAAAGCAAGCCATCTCATCCAACACTTTGACGAGTAGCAACCTACCAATCTCTTTGGCACAAATCAACTCAACAACGGCGCCTTCTACCACCAAGAAGACATTCACCTGTAGGGATTTTCGGGGGGCAAGGAAGGGGCCTGGCTTAGGGGATTGTTGGGAGGTCCTCTTTGGTGGGAGGAGACAGTGGGGAGATATGCTCGGAATATTACTGGTTAGAAGCAATATTGGCTTTTTTTAAGGTATGCATTCCCGTGTCTCTCTGTGTTTATTCTATGTACAGCCTGTCTCTGAAATACTTGCGTGCGAATACCTGTCGATAACACCATGTCAGGACCTCGTACTGTTGCCCGTTTCGATCATGCCTAGGTTGGAAGGGCGGCGCACCAACCACAAGCTCGTCCTGCAACAATGACATCATTGTCGGCTGCTGGTGCCTTTTATCCGGCTTGGCATTTGATGTTCATCTTGACGACGGCAAATCACCACAACCATCCAACTACTTGCCTTGCACCGCACTTGCACCGTTAAGCATTTTCATAGCTTCGCTTGCTATCTCTTGGGATTTCTTGGTATACGTCAAGCAATGGGAAGCTTTTCTGACCGTTGCTATCATGCCACGAGCATCGCTGTTTGCCGCACCAAGAGCTGTTTCGTGACCACGACCTGTGGTGGGCTTTGACGATCACTGGGTCACTGTTGCATCGACTATCGCATCGTCCATCCTGGCAGATGGAGCACGTACGATCCGTGGCAACGAAGGGTAGTAGATGTTTACAACTGCAATGCCTGGTATTGGTGGATTTCTCGGCACCCTGCAACCCTTCTGTGGCGGCTCATGTTCCTGGCAAGGGTCGTTTTCACGATGGCCGACCTCTGTCCAGATCTGCGAGTTGAGTACATGCATAGTCGTATGATAATCTATGTATGTTCGGGCGACATACCCTGTGAGGTTGGTGCTTTTGGTCGAGTTCCGCATCTTGTCGCCCTGCGTCTGATAATCCCCTTGGGTCTCCACGTTCTCATCATCTCTTTACATCCTTTTCTCTCTCGTACATTACTTCCTCTGCATATACCTTCACCTCACTTATCACACGAGAAAGTCCTGAAGTCAAACTATGGCCGAACACGAGTTTCCGGCCGCTCAGTACGTATCCTCCAACCAGTTCAATTGATCCATGTTCAATCTGACCGAAACCCCTTCCTAGACTGCACGGGGAGAAACACAAAGTGGATGATGATTCTGTGAAAGCCATCCACGACATCACTGGGGGGCCACTCACGGCAGATACAAAGGCACTCCCAACTCTTAAAGAGCACGGCTTCATCGGTGACAGGGAGGGACCACATTCCCCCAGCGAGGATACCGAAATTGGCCAGACCGAAGATGGATTGGAGCCGAACGAGCACGAGAAGAAACATCTGCGCCACGTTGGCGAAAGCCTCCCTTTTTCCACCTTCCTGGTTGCTTTTGTCGAGCTGTGTGAGCGTTTCACCTTCTACGGTTGCCAGGGTATATTCCAGGTGAGGACACTCACATCGCGTATCTAAGTGATGCGGAGCTTTGGCTAACGTCTTGACAGAACTATGTACAGCGACCGCTTGATGGATCTCAGGGACGAGGTGCCCTGGGAATGGGACATCAAGGTGCAACAGGACTTACTACCTTCTTTAAGTGAGAAATGACTCCCTTCATCATCACCCTGCTGTCAATTTTGCAGCTAACCCTCAAACCAGCTTCTTCTGCTACGTCACACCAATACTGGGTGCGATCGTTGCCGACCAGTACCTGGGCAAGTACAAGGCCATCCTTTACTTCTGCGTGGTCTACCTGATTGGGCTTTTGATCCTATTTACGACTTCATTGCCGGTCTCCCTGCAGAATGGGGCCGGCCTCGGCGGGTTCATCACAGCGATCATCGTTATCGGCATTGGAACTGGAGGTATCAAGTCGAATGTTGCCCCGTTGATTGCGGACCAGTATAAGCGCAGGAGAATGGTTGTAAGTAGCCGAGCACTCAATGGTCATAAGTGGGCGAGAAGGAGGATACTGACGCAAGAAAGATGTCAACCACCCCGAAAGGCGAGCGAATCATCATCGACCCAGCCGTGACTATCCAGCGGATCTACATGATCTTTTACACCTGCATCAACATCGGTGCCTTGTCTCTCCTGGCGACGCCGTACATGGAACGCGACGTCGGCTTCTGGTCCGCGTACTTGCTCTGCTTCTGCATGTTCTGCGCCGGCACCGCGGTTCTCATCATGGGGCGCAACATCTACGTCGTCCGGCCACCCCAGGGGTCCATCATCACGGACGCGTTCAAGGCAGTCTGGCTCATGATCAAGCACCGTGACCAAAATGCGCCGAAGCCGAGCTGGATGGCGGAAAGGGGCATTCACAAGACGGTCCCGTGGAACGACCATTTCATCGAAGAGTTGAAGAGAGCGCTGGTCGCCTGCCGGGTCTTTGTCATCTATCCGATCTGTAAGTTCACCCTTGGAAAGTAAAGATTGAGATTTCATTTTGCACATCGAGCAAAGGAGGAAAACATGCTGATGCTACACGCTTAGACTGGTGTGTCTACGGACAATTCAGTGGCAACTTTGTCACCCAAGCCGGTCAGATGCGAGGACACGGAATTCCCAACGACTTGATGCAGAATTTTGATCCGGTGAGTACGTGGCTCTGGGAAGGAACCCTTCCTTCTCAGATAACGAGAATGCTCACGAGTCTGCCTGCAGATCTCCATAATTGTCTTTGTGCCCATCTTGGATAGATTCGTCTACCCTCTTTTGAGAAAGATGCACATCCCTTTCCCACCGATCAATCGAATTGTCTTGGGATTCTGGATCGCGTCCCTTGCCATGATGTACGCCGCAATTGTGCAGCACCTAATTTACAGGTAAGTGATCGGAACGGGCGACAGAGTTTCTTGCTGACGGGACGCCACAGCTCCGGACCGTGTTATAAGCAGCCACTGTGCGACGCATCGCTCGTCGATGGCGTCGCTGAGGGCAACAATGTGCACATTGCGATCCAAGCCCCAGCTGTAAGTGGAGAACCAGAACGCGCATTGGTTACCAGCGTTCAGCGGCTGACACTCCGACACAGTATATGCTTATCGGTATCTCCGAAATCTTCGCCTCAGTGACAGGTCTGGAGTACGCATACACAAAGGCTCCCCCGAGCATGAAGTCTTTTGTGCAATCTATCTATCTCCTTACCAATGCGTTTGGTTCCGCGCTAGGAGAGGCACTGACGCCAGTGGCTTATGACCCTGCCATCCTGTGGATGTTTGTGGGACTTTGCATTGCGAGCTTCTGCGCTGGCTGCCTGATTTGGATCCTATTCCATGGGTTGAATGAAAGGGAAGAGGAGATGAATGCACTGGACGACGATGTCGAAGAGGAAGGCGGATATCGCAAAGGAAGCAAAGTTACATATTGACCGAGAAGGCTGAGTGCCCAGCACCCGGTGGTTTAAACTTCTTGTGGAGAGCAAATATTGGGAGGGCTGATGTGATGTGCGATACCAGAAGAACAGCGTCTAGACCCAATCATCGGAGCATTTCCCTTGGGCGGGGACGATGGTTTGTGTTCAAATCCGGATCTGGAGCGGGTGGCTGGGACAAGATGGTTTGACGCACATTGGCTGCCAGAGACACGCAACAATTGCTACTTGTAGCTATGGCCAGGTCGTTTTGAATCCATTGCGTACCACATCATTATTACTGATCAACAAGCACCGCGCTATAAAACCCCGCGCCCGCTTAGAGCAAGGTACAAATTGTTGCAGGGTCAAGTGATCCTCGACGAATCCCAGAGACTTAATCGCCCAATACCGAGCACTGGAGGGCCAAGGGCCGGGGAATAAGCGAGAGACACAAGCTCGCACCTAGGCAGGTCAAGTGCGCAGGCGTCGCAAGCCGCGGCTGTGGGCGAGAGAGGTGATTCGTGAGAGGCCGGGAAGGCGTGGGCGTTGGTCTCTAGTTTCCGTGCCGCAGTGCGGGTGGCGACAAGGGCGTGAGGACGGAGGGTGGCCGTAGGGATCGAGGGGGAGTGGGCGGTGGTCAGGGCAAGGTTGTATCGAGGAAGTTGTGCTGGGAAAGAGAGTGAGTAGGATTTCATCGAGATATTGAATGATCGAACGATTGTTCCTTGGTCAATCAAATGTCTTACGAAGTACTCGGTCGGTATACAAGATGTGGATGTGGATGTGGCGCAGGAAGAAGAAGAAAGTAGTGTATGAATGAATCATGATGCAGGGATCCCGGCCATCCCGCAGCCAGGCAAGCCAGGGCTTGGGGAGGACCACCGAGGACCTCACTAAACAACTTAGGCAGTGCTAGGCACCTGGACGCCGAGTAGCTTTCTTTAACTAAACCGGATTTCCGTAGGTGTGAGCATCGTGGTCACTGCAGTTCTCCCGCCCAGCCCAGCCCTTCAATATTCTCTCTTCTCCCCCGCGCGCAGTCTTTCCTCGGACTTGGTCTCGTGAACCAGCATTGGCACCACCATCACCAGCTTGCCAACTGCGCCATCCTCACCCTCTGCCATCACCCTCTTCTTTCTCCAGCTCCTGCATCACTATTACCTCGTTCATCCCGTTCCCATTAACCTCAATCTTCTATCATTCTGCTGCAGCAGCCGCAATACATCCTCCTTCATCTTAACTGGGGATGCTGCATCCGAAACCGCCCTACTGAAGACCTGCACATCCGCCATCTGGGCCAATCCCGTCTCCGAAGCAGAGGTTGCTTCTTCCCCCTTGAAACAGCCTCCCCCTTCACTTCGTAACCTTTTGTCACTCAATCCGCCTCGTGTGTGAGGGAGGATTCAGGCCCATATTGGAGCGCCCGAGGACCAATCCTAATCTCACCCTTGCTTCGATTGATCGTTCCGTCACTCCTCGTCGATTACAGATTTGCATACATCGAAATCGATCGCCACCTACTCCTCCCTATCCTTCGCGACTCGTCATCTCTCCTTTTTGTCCTCCTGTTCATGTCTCTGCCCATCTACGACTGGTTCAAGGGATAATCAGTGCTTTCCTCCTGGATCCGTGGTCGCCGGCACAGCTTAGATGCTCCCATCAGCACCCGGTTGCGCACCCGACTTCTGCACGTTGACTACGTCGAGCCTGTCGAACACTTTGTCTGCGCCATCATATCTCATCTAAGATGGCTTCTTCAACATTAACTACGACGGCGTCGTCCACTGCGAGCCCAACGGGGAACCCTGGTGGCAATGGAGGTTCTGGTCCTAGTTCGCCACTACTCTTTTTCGTCGCTCTCGGCTTTGGTGTCGTCTTTACAAACTTATGGTGAGCCCCAGTCAACTTCGGGCATCTCTGAATCATCTAATCTTGTTGTGTGTGTGCCTGTCAGGATTATCGTTGGTGTCAAATACTGCTTCCGATATAACCAGCGCAATAGACAGCGCATGAATGGCGAAGATCCGGACGGAGTGGATCTCGCAGCGATGCCTCGACAACACCGCCGCAGGCGCGAGAAGAAGCTCATGACCATCGAGGAAGTCAACGAAAAATTCCCTCTGACCAAATACAAAACGTGGCGTTCGAATCGTGCCGATGAAGGCCTGCCCACTGCTGGAGGGATTACTACTGCTTCTCGACCGGCTAGCATACACAATGCTCAACGAGATTCCAAAGAGTCAAAGGAAATGGAAGCCCAGGAATTGGCACATGCACAAACCAACACTTCGTCCGAGGAGAAAACGCCCGAGCATGGCGAACCAGAGCTTGTAGAGGCTGAAAAGAGTGACACGGAAAACCGGCCAGTCACGCCGTCCCGGCCCAAATCCAGTCCATCCACGGTGACACCAGGTACTCCGGTACACAAAGTCACCAGTCACGATGACGAGGACGAAGACGAAGAACGCATCCAGACGGCCCTTCCGCCCGAGCAATTACCTGATCCCGGCGATGCTTGTGCCATTTGTATTGACAACATCGACGATGACGACGATATACGTGGGCTACACTGTGCCATGCATTCCATGCCTCTTGCGTTGATCCTTGGTTGACATCACGCCGAGCCTGTTGTCCTCTCTGCAAAGCGGATTATTACGTCCCCAAACCTCGACCCGAAGGTGCCGAAGTGCACCCAACAAACCTGCAGCCGCCTCCAACGGCATTCTCAATTATCGGAAATGGACGACCAGGCCGAAGACCGGCAATGATCATACCGGGGCGATTTATGAGCATCGTGTATCATGATCGCGATCGACATGGATTTCCACTCGTGGTGCGTGCGGAGCGGACAGATCAGTCAAATCGAGAACAAAGTCGGAGGCAACAAGGAGACAGATTACCAAGCTCAAATACAGCTGCGGGTCACGAAGGCGTCGATACTCCGTCGTCACGGAGACCACGGTTTGGCTTCAGAATACCAGGTCTAAGTCGACCAGCCCAGACACAAACGGCGGCTCCGGAAGCCCTGCCTACGCCTTCGCAGCTTGAAGCTGGAAGATGACGGGAAGCAACCCCCAGAAGCAACGATAATGATACGAGGTTTATGATAATTTCTGACGAGAGGCTTCTTGGCATTTGTTGGTTTCCCCGGGCCTTGGATAGGTGAAAACTCTGGGAGATGGATGGGCGAGACCAATTGCTCTGTTTGCATGAATGCTGAAAGGCCCGTTACTAGGAAGTTTGCATGGTATGAGCAACAACTGCGAAACTTTACGTCTGCATATGTCCGGCAACATGGGGCTCGACAACTTTGCACTGCACTGGGTTCAGGAGTGGACAAGAACTGCGACTTGATCTTGTTGGGATGTTGACCTCGAGATGTGATACCCCCGTCTCCATTTCTTGGCTATATGGCATATTGTATCTTTAGCCTCTCAGACTGTACCTGGACGAAGACTAAAAATGGACCATATTTGTTTTGCTTGTGTGGAGCGTGCATGGTGCATTTGGAATTTCGATATAGAACGCAGGAGTTGTGTATGGGCATTAATTGATGTATTACTAATGCCGTACGGAGTTGGGCACGTGACGCTGTGTGATACGTCGGAGCTTTCACCAGGTGACACGCATATTATCCCGACGAACCGAGTCCCGAGTCCCGAGTACGGTGATGCATAGCTGGACACAGCGTCAATATCCCAGCCCATTGTGTAAATATTAAAGCTGTAATTACCTCGTATGTAAGAGAGAGAGACAGAGCTAGATACGAGGTAGACATGTGAGAGAGAGGGGGCGATATGGTTTTTATTTGTGCATTTTCATGTTCATTTTCAACGGCACTCAGGTATCATGGCCATGGACATGGATGTGGACATGAACATAGATATGTGATGTGTACCGAGTATTGTGATGTGTATGTACGGAGAGGTGTGCTGGAGAAACTAAGGGTTGTCGACTGATATGGTTGGTGCGTATTGATTCAAGCCTGTGAACTTAGCAAACCTGGCCCATGCGCGAAGTTCCTGACGCATTTCATCGTCTGAATCACTTTCCGATTCTTGTCGACGTTTCACGTCGACCTCTTTTTCGATTGAGGCTGTCGGCGCTTTCGTTATCTCGTTTTCGCCCGCTAGCTGGTCGAGCGGCAAGTGTTTGAATTTCAGCAACTTCAAAAGAGAGGTTGATAGCACATCATCCTTCGGAACTCAACGCCCAGCTTTGGTGCTATATTCAGAGCCCATATGCTCAGTAGCCACATGCAACTCGAAGCTGGCACGATCGTTGAATGCGCTCTCAACACCGGTATAGCAGCTGGAGTCACCGCAATACCACTTGATTATCGTACCGTGCGACTGAAGATGGATGTCGATCGCCAAAGTTCCAGGAAAAGTCGCTTCGCACTGCGGGACTTCGCAATGCCAGCCAACGTCAGTACGCTTAGCGTGGACAATATCCTCTGGGTCGAATTTTATTGGGCGGTGCGGTAAGTTCTTATTGACTCGGTATTCTCCATCTGCGAGAGTCCTGGTCTCATACGTCTCGAGCGCTTTCTCCACATCCTCAACACATTTCTCTTTCATGCAACCCATGAGGATGTCGCGTAGACACTCTGGGATGCAATTCTGTGTCGATTTGGACGTCGTAATAGACTCTTGCATCTCTGTTTCAGTGCCTTGAGGAATACGCTCTCGGTACTCTCCGTCAACAGCCAACAACTTCTCTGATGTTTCTTCTTGTGCTTCGTCATAATCTTCCCCATCTCCGTCGCAGCAACTCATCCTATCATCTTCATCGGTGTCATGCGGTTCAAGCTCTTCGAGATCCGTCACCGAATGGGATGTATCGGTTAATGGCTGGACACGTTGGCGGGCAGCGTAGCGGTTGCGTATTTATATATAATTCAGATCGACGATTATCTCGTGATTCTCACGCAGATGTTCTATAATGCCGGTTTTCGTGTATGGTGCGATGAGGGTGCCACACTCCGGGCAGGAATTCTCGGCTGACTGAAATGCGCAGTTCCTGCCTCTGGTCCAGAATCCGGCCCGTGGGATGTCACGCGCAGAGGGGGTCACTTTCTTGATATCGTGCGCGTGAATACCGTGCGCGTGAATAGAGGGCGAATGCCCCTGGATGCTCGAGTTGGTTCTACCTGTCGTCCGTGCTCCCGAAGGATATGAGAGCGGACTTTATCTTTCGCTTCATCAATGTAGTCACAATCCTTGCAACCGAAGCCTGTTTTCATGTTATGTCGCGTCTCGCAATGTAGGGGAAGGTCATTCAAAACAAGTCTCTCCTTGCAGCCATCCCAGGCGCAGGCACATATATCGGAGGCATCGCGGATTGACCGATTTGATTCGCGAAACCTGGACTTTGAAATTCTCGGTTCATGCAACAATCGAAAAGGGGTCAAATGTTCGCAAGTGTTTGTGCGCATCCAGCCTCCTACGGTTACCGTACCATTCACTGCCTAGTTAGATTCACTGTCCCAGGCACTTGCCTTCTTATGTGACCGCCAAGCGTACAGGTAAGGCTGCGGAGCCTCTGTTGCTCAGTCCTAGCTTCTTCCTTAAATATCATCATTCTTATCAGACTTGCCAGATTCTAATGATTATGAGGTCAAGGCGTAACTTCCAGCTCTCGTCAACTAGATGTACCTTACAGCAGTGGTCGCATGTGTTATTTGCTTGGGACTTCTTGCCGTTGCCGTTGACGTCCGTCATGCCGCCAGATTCTTTCCAAGCCACCTTGACCTTGACGGTCTCACCCGCGTGAGGTGGTCACGTAAAGGAATACAAACACTACGAGGCATTGATGAAAGATGCTGGCACCTGACAAGATCAAAAAAGAACGAAGCGGTTTATCCTGAGGCTTGTCATCATCGGCCAGAATGGAGATCGAACTTCAAACGAAACGTCAAAAAAGACAAAAACCAAAAAAAACCTCCCCCGGGTGGGCTCGAACCACCAACCTCCTGATTAACAGTCAGACGCGCTAGCCAATCTGGGATCTTGTTAGTGAAAACTTTTGCGAACGGGTTGCTGCAAGGAACAACATACTGCGCCACAGGGGAATGCTCCCTTGTAATTGTTGGTAAGATCTCTGAGACAAAGATATATATTCTTAATCTCAAAAGTTTGCGCTTCCGGGCTTCCGGGCTTCCATCTTGGCATTTTATCGCCTAATGTAACGCCAGCATGATGATCCGGCATCTCTAGAATACGCACGTGGATGTTCTCCAATCCAAATTTTCGTCCTGCGAAAATGCCTTCGTCGACATCTTTCCGTGCTCTACGACACATTCCTAGGATGCTTGAGCATATTCCAACAGGCTTCTCTGGTGTAAAAGACCAGGCGATTACAGAGGATGAGCCAAACAGTCGTTACCTTGGGTGACGATTGGTTGCTCGCCCTTATCTTGTTGCGTCCAAGATTGATACATAAAGGAGTCAGTACAAACATGGCAGCCGTGACCGCCAAGAGCATCGACTTTCGTCGCTTATCATAAGCTTACAGATTTATACACGATCCCCGCGGAAATGAAAAAAAAAGACGCCTCCTCACCTCAACACCACTAAGTCTGAAGTCGCCTTCTGCATAGTTTGAGTCCCGACTATCAGACCAGATGCCGAAGAAGTCCGCCGCCTGCTATGCTTGTCGTTTGCACAAGATTGGCGTGAGTCATCGATCTATGCATCAGCATGCGGGTACTGATCACATTCTCCGCAGTGTGATTTCATGAGACCAGCCTGTTCGCAGTGTTTGTACACCGGTAGAAACTGCCCGGGCTATCATCAGTCAACAAAGTTCGTTCATCATTCGAATTGCCAACCAGGACAACAACCATTATCCATCAGAAGCTCCGAATGTGACAAACGACAACATCGACAGTCTAGGCTTCACAATGCTCCGCCCCGCCGGTATCCGAATCGAGGAAGAGCAGACTTTTTGGCGTCTCCCGCGCTATATTTGCGGTTCATGGGTGCTACACCTGCCTTAAATCACTGGCCGATCGACGCACCGCGCGGAAGCCCTTGTTCCAGTCTTGAGGGTAACGTCACTAGTGATTCTGATGAAAGTCAGTCCGGAATCTGCGACGATATCTGAGATCATGTCATGTTACTCTGATGCGCTCAGTAGATTTGGAAAAGTCCTATCTCATGATACATTAGTCTCGCATGATGAGCTCCTAGTGTCTGGTATGTGTCTCGCACTTACAGAAGTGGGTAAAATCGCTCACGGGCTCGTTTCCATCCCAACAAAAATTCTAACTGCATAGATAGGCTCTTTTGATAAAGTCGCCTTTCGGCTGGTCCATACATGCCTGGGGGGTTACCCTTCGTATTCGACGAAAGAATCCGGACTTCTACAAATATGGCCTGTACCATAATCTTTATCTCGGATTTCGCATTTTTATCGTATGTTCTGTCCCGGACCATTTTGCTACGCAGGAAAAAGAAAAAGACAATGACAAATGGTACAGCTGCTTGAAAGCCTTCTTCGTTAAAAGTTATTTCTCGATCAGCAGGATTGGCCCTTAATTACGGCCCATTTTAGCAACGCAACACCCCACGGCAGGTGCTAATTACTATGGAACTGGATCTCCGCCACCTGCTGGAGACATACGGTATAGCAATCCGGGACTCTCGAGGTCAGGCCGCTGAGCATGTCTTGGCCGTATGGACGAAACTTCATGACATGATTCGAGGACTACTTCACTAGCAGCAAGACTTTACTACCTCTCAGGGCGGCCCTACTTACTGGCCTGTCATGCGGGAACAGGGGCAAAGTCAAGCTGGAGATAACTCTCCGGGGGCTTAGGTAGTTACTGCGAGAAGTCTCGAGCTAGTCATACACAAGGCCTATGTAAGGCTCAGGGTGCTATCTAGCCTTCATCATATGGCGTTTAAACTTAACTAACTTCCTACTCTCTCATTTCGTTAGAAATATACGGTCTACGGCTTCCACCTTTAGGTACTATGCCTGACGGGTAGAAGCATTAAATACGCCAGCGGACGACGCTTCGGAAGAATCATTCAATGAAGACCCCATGCGCGTGTCGTGACCTCATTCCCCGGGAAGATCCACAATGAGTCGTGCGTTCTGCCGACTAATGGCAGCGACAGAACTTGTTCAAGGCACCAAAGCTCATGGATTGAGATTCTCGGAGACATAGGATCTCCGCCTTCCGCAGGGAAACATGTCTCTGCCAGAGCGTGACAACTACTTGCGGCCAAACGCCGCAAAGTACCCGAGATATGTCGAACTCTTAAAATCTCTCCGTCGATGCAAAAGTCAGCGAGGCACGCAGAGCAAACCGACTTATAAAAGGTACAATGAACTCCGAACCATCGAGAATGCCTTGTCTGTCTGTCTATCTCTGTTCTTCCTCTCTCGCCAGTTATTCATTTGCAGACCAGCATTGCCAAGATGGCCCGTGATCAAACAGCTTCACGTTCGGTCCGAACTCTCTGGGTCTGGCCTGGTGGCATATTCCCACGACGCGTTGCCTACTACGTCAAAGCGAAATCCGTAACAGCCGACCATCTCAACCGTCTGGGGCTGACTCTGATCCCCTGCACTGTCGACCTAAAGTCCCAAGATCTGGCTCTGGATGCCATCCCAGGCTACGAGAAAAGACCTAAGGGCTTCTCACTTCCCGTCTTGCGCATACAAGACCTCGAATCCTCCAACCACAGCAAATTCATCGCCCAGTCCAGCAGCATCCTCGAATACTTGGAAGACCTACTCCCAGCGTCGGACGGGCACCCCAGTCTGCGGGGTGACGACGCCTTCCAAGCAGCCAGAGTCAGGGACATCGTCCAACTCATCAACGAAGTCTTGACCTGGTGCAACGTCCATGTTCGACACCTCACGGCATTCAGTCTTGGGTGGAGTGGAATGACAGAGGAACAGCAGAGCCCTCAGGCGGGGGAGGACGCTCAAGTTCAATACCGCCGTCTGTTGACGACACTGCAGTCTTGGACCAATACATGTTCAAAGGGAGTCAGTCTGGTTGGCGCCGACCGGCCCACCCTTGCAGATATCACGGCCGCGGCCGCCAAGACGTCCATGGAAGATCTCTACGGCATAAATCTGTTCGACGGCTTTGAAGGTTTGGAGGCTTGGTGGACGCGATATCAGTCGAGCCCTTGGTTTGTGATCAGAGATGTGATCGACCAAATTGAAAAAGATGGGTTCAACCTTCTTTTGAAATGAGATGGCGGTATGTGAAAAGGGTGCCCTAGTACCAGGCACCAACCCATTAAGCGTGCTAATTGCGATGCTGGGCCAGAATTGGGGAAGGAAGTGTATTGCCACTAATTCTTCAACGGATTTCGAGAGTCCAGTTTAACGCGCAGAATCAGACGGCAATTGAAGATCTCTGCATTTAACAGCCAACAAAAGGCCCATCAATTCAACAATCGTCATCTCGAGATGTGGGTAATAACTCGCTCTTCTCCTGCTTCGTGCTCTATTTCTTTTCTCTATGGGGCAGGTCACTTATCCAATACAATTGACCATCCTGAATTACCTCTCCCAATCCCCTTCTCAATTCCCAAACATCTCTTCCTTGTCCCAGTCTCTCTCCCACTCCAGAGTGTACAGGTTTGGCAGGTGCAGCGGGCTATAGTAGTGCTGGAGACTTTGCCCGGCGCCTGTGTCACGAACCGCCAAGTATAACTCGCACGTGACAGCCCCTTATTATTTGAGCACCGCATGCTCACCGCCTGAGGGAAGCTTCCTTCCCTCATGCTTTGAGTTTCCAGTTAAGATA